TTTTAAACTATATAAGAAACATGTTGGTACTTATGAATCATGCAGTACAGCAGCATTCAAACATGGAAGAACAGAAACTGTAAGACCGTGTACAATGAAGACCGCTGTAAGTTAAATTATTAACATTGCAATGTTAATAAAAAAAATTTTACWATACATTTTCATGTAAAATATTTTTTAGGATTTTTGCTATGCTGTATCAAGTAATAATAAACCCTCTAACAATGATCTAGTGAACATGATAAAGCAATGTTCAGTTGAACATAGTAAACTTGTAAAGGAAGCTGCAATGGGTAATATTTTATCAATAAAAATATAATTGTTTAATAGGTATATTTTATATCTTTTCGTTTTCAGGACAAGGGTTTGATCGTCATTTATTCGCTCTACGATTATTAGCTAAAGAAAGCAATTTAAAAATTCCAGACTTGTTCACCGATCCCGCTTATGGTCTTATTAATCATAATATTCTATCTACTTCTAGTTTAACTTCAGATTATGTATGGTTGGGAGGGTTTGGTCCTGTTATAAAAGATGGTTATGGAATTGGGTAAGTGTAAAAAAAATTAAAAAAAATTTCTTCRTGATGATTTTTTTTGAATAAAATATAAATATTCGATTTGGACTTGAAACATCACGGAATTTTGAGCTGCTTTTTATCAATATCATTATTATAAACTCTCCACATTAATATTCTTGCGTCGTAATTTTATAATATTATAAACGCGTGAACAATTATTATTAAAATAAATAATAATCTATCCCGAATAAGAACGCACCGGGTGGCAAATAAAAACCTGGTGAAATTCTAACATATTACATCCTCACCACACGCCCTGATGCTCGTTGGTGGCATCGGTTGCAGATGGTCGAATGGTTACCAATCGCAGAGCGATTATACTTAGCTAGAGGGTCTGGACGTGCTAAAGTGGTACGTTCTTATTCAGGATAGAGTATATGTAATTAGTAGATAGCAATTCTATAGGCATAGCCGTGTTAAGTAATACCTGTTMTCCGATTCCCACTCAAAGCAGTGTTCACCGCGTCGATGTCGCAGCTTTCTGCCCACCACCAATGCACGCCGACAATGCAACCTATTAGCTCAAATATTGTACAAAATACCTCACACAATGACACTGATTAATCCCGCCACCACTATSGATACTCGACACCAGCTCAACGACTATGATTCGATATTTTGTCTAAAACCGTTAACCTGTACAACGTTAACACTACACACTCCGTCAAACACCATATACTACAACCTTGTGCCGGACGTTATATTTTCCACCGTGTCCCGACACGATGATGAGCTAAGAGCTTAAGATACTACGGATATAGCCCCTGGCGGTTGAACAAATACTATCAGCTGGCTTGCACGATTAAAATAAAGATATAATGGTTGACCGACGGACAGTCATAAGCGATATTACATGGCCATTGAAATCACATTCTAAATCAGTTACTTAACTAATTTAATCCGTTCTCTATTGCGAATTTGTGATTGTGAAATCAATATAATTCCTGTAGTACATAAATATTCCACTACTCTTATCGAGTGCTACAGAATTATTTTTATCGTGAGAGTAATATTTGAAGACGAAAWTTCCATGCTCGTTGGGTAACCATTATATTATCTTTAATTGTGTTGATTACTGATTTTTTCGCTCAAGTCGTCGTAATGTATTTTATTTTCCMCTTGACTTCTTTTACAGCCCATTTTATCCCATTAATATTTTTTCTCGATTTATTTTGTTCATTAAAAACTTTTA